TCTCCGACCTAAAGCAAATCATCCTCTAACCAAGCTGGGTCTCTGCTTTGTACACGGGGGATTAACTATCTCATAGGCTTAGAATGACAATGGAAATGCACTTTACAATAGATATGCATTTATTAAAGTCAGGGAAGAAACATTTTTTAAATGTTCTCTTCAAGTGTAAGCCTGCTCTTGGATTTTTAAAATGTGTGTTTTACGTAGCATACCATAAGCATATATTTGTGTTTGAAAAGAATCGTATAATAGATTAAAGCATCATTCTTGTCCAAACATAAAAAAGATATGAAATTGTCTTTTAGATAATATCCTTGAGACTTTTACTGGATGTTCCAAGAAGAAAGTTGAACACGACTCCTAGCACCTAAGTCCAAATCTTTCTCCATCATTGGAACTTCACGGGATAAGTTTGGAGCAAAACAAAACCAACTAAATTTTAAATTATCACTCATCTGATAGATCCAGGAAAAGAGGGGACTGGAATCATTTTTCGCTAAGGTCCCTTTGGGTCCAAAAATCAGAGGTCAATGCTCAATTTTTTTCTTAGTTGTTGGGTGGGATCAGATAAAACCTCAAGACCCTTTCATTCAAGGGCCTTGACAAGGCAAGCTTTGCACACAAAAATGTTTGGAGTCGCCAGGCAGCTCCAGCAATAAGACAAGATCTGACAGTTACTATATTTCTCCCTGAGCTTGTCTTTGGTTCTACGATCACTCATTTAAAAAGACACTTTAGCATTGTGCCAAATAAAGAAAAATTTGATTAACAATGCAACCAGCTGGCTCTTCAACCTTCCTAGCAAGTCATGATCAGAACTGCCCCTTCATGAACAGCTTCTGTGACGGACACCTCTTGGTAGGCCTCCAGGGGAAGACGGGCATAGGATGCAGAAGTGGTCAGATGCCATCACTGCCACTGGGGCAGAGCCCAGTGCTCTGTGCTGTGGGCCGACAGTGGCTCTTCGCAGCCTTTCTGAAGGTTTCTGCAGCCCTGTTATCCACCAGAAAGTGAATTATTCCCCTAGTCTTCCAACTGGTGTCCTTGCTTCCACCCCTGCCTCTCTGCCGTCTATTTTCCACACATCAGCCACAGTGATCCTTGTAAAATACAAGTCGTGTCATGTTGCTCCTCTGACCAACACTCCAACATCTCCCAGCACAGAGAACAAAGCCAAACATCCTCGCTGGGACTCGATTTGGTCCCTGTTACCTCCCTGACCTCACCTGCTACCACGTTCTCATTCCGGGTCTCTGCATGAGCCCCCCCCGCCTCCTGGCTATTTCTCAAAACACTTCAGGCATATGTCCTCCTCACAGACCTGGTGCCATTCTGCTCCCTCTGCCCGGAATGTGCTTCCTACAGACACTCAGTGACTTGCTCCTTCACTTCATTCAGGTCTTGGTCAAATGTCACCTTAATAGAGAAGGCTTCCCTCTCCCCCATCACTCTGTTCCCTCCCCATCACTCTTTCTTATTTGAAATAACCTCAAACTTCATGAAAAGTTGCAAAAAGAACACAAAGAATGTCTGCCCTGAACAATTAGAGTGTAAGACACCCGCGTGATGCCTCATCACCCTTAAATATTTAAGTTTGGACGTTCTACAAACAAGGACATTCTCCTACATAATCACAATTCAACCATCAGGATAGGAAAGTTGACTCCGGTACATTCCTGCTACCTCATCTTCAGACCCCAGTCAAGTTTCATGAGTTGTCCCAACAACACTTTTTGTTGCCAAAGGACCCAATGCAGAAACCTGCATTGCAGTTTCTTGTCATGTTACCTTAGCATCCTCCAACATGAAACAGCTCCTCGGTCTTTCAGTGACGTTCATGAGTTTGACAGTTGTGAAGAGTCCAAGCAACTGATTTTGTAAAATGCCCATTAATTTGGCTTCGGCTGATGTTTCGCCATGATCAAATTCAGGTTATACATCTATGGCAGGAAAATCACAGAAAGGATACTGTGTTCAGAACCAGCTACATACACGTAGGGGTCACTGCAAAATGAAAATGTAGACCGACCCCTCATTAAACAATTAAGAATTTCAGGCCGGGCACGGTGGCTCTCGCCTGTAATCCCAGCACTTTGGGAGGCTGAGGAGGGTGGATCTTGAGGTCAGGAGTTTGAGACCAGGCTGGCCAACATGGTGAAACCCCATCTCTACTAAAATACAAAAATAAGCTGGGTGTGGTGGCATGCACCTGTAATCCCAGCTACTCAGGTGGCTGAGGCAGGAGAATTGCTTGAACCCAAGAGGCGGAGGTTGCAGTGAACCGAGATCACACCATTGTATTCCTGCCTAGGCGGCAGGGCAAGAATTTTTCTCAAAAAAAAAAGAATTTCAAGAAAACAACAGCAGAGCATTAAACTAAGCATATGCCCCTCTGAGCACTGGCTCCTGTGCTACCGCGGAAGTCCATGAAGCTTGCCCTGACTGTGATCTTCATGTTGCATCTCACTGGATGGCAAATGATTCTACTTAGTACGTTACTGATGACGTTACCTTTAGTCACTCTATTAAAGTGGGTTGGCCAGGTTTCTCCACTGTAAGCTTAATATTTCCCTACTTTGTAATGTTTGGGGTAAGATATTTTATATTTGCTTAGTTTTATCAATATGAACTCATGGTTTCTGATTTTATTCAATGGTTAATAATGCATTACTATACTTATTTATTTTTAATTTACATGTAGTCCACTTGACTTTCTTTGATGTACAGTTCTATGAATTTTTGTTTGTTTTTTGACAGAGTTTTACTCTTGTTGCCCAGGCTGGAGTACAATGGCCCGATCTCGGCTCACCACAACCTCTGCCTCCAGGGTTCAAGTGATTCTCCTTCCTCAGCCTCCCGAGTAGCTGGAACTACAGGCATGCACCACCATACCCGGCTAGTTTTGTATTTTTAGTAGAGATGGGGTTTCTCCATACTGGTCAGGCTGGGCTCGAACTCCCAACCTCGGGTGATCTGCCCACCTCAGCCTCCCAAGGTGCTGGAATTATGGGTGTGAGCCACTGTGCCCAGCCAGTTCCATGAGTTTTAATACAAATGCAGACAAGTGTACCCAACCTCAGAATGAGAATACACAGCACTTCCACACCCCCAAAATTTCTTCATGTTGTCACTTTGTAACAAAATCCTCTCCCTCCTGACCCCTGGAAATCATTGAACTTGGTCCTAAAGTTTTGCCTTTTCTTGAATGTCCTATAAATAGACTCATACTGCCTATAACCTTTTGAGACTTGAGTGTTTCATTTGGCATCATGCCCTTGGGATTCATTCATATTGTTTCCTGAATAAGTTTCCATTGCATAAGTGGATACAATTTATTTATCCATTTGCTCATTCGTTATATCAAATTTTCCTTATTCAAATCAATGGGGTTTTCCATCTTCAGTCAGGACCCTCACTGATTGGGAACATAGGGGCAGTGATTCTTCATTCCTGACACGTTTCCAGGCGATGCTGAAGCAGCCAGTCCAGGGACCCCATGTGCAGTAGCAAGGCTGTAGCCAGCTCACCAGGACAAGGATGATTATGAGGGGCCGGGCTGGAGGCAGGGACACTGTCTTCAAAGGAGGACATTGTGCTAGTACAGGTGAGAAATCATGAGGGCCTGACCCAAGCCAGTAGCAGTGGGGCAGACAGTGGAGACAGACTATAGAGAGAGTTT